ATGTCAGGAAGTGAGAATACACTGGGCAGCAAACTGAATCGCGTGAAGAATAGGAAAATAACTTGATTATGGAGAGCAAGAGCTAAAACTGGTTGAGCTGGGACTCACACAGTCGATTTTCAGAGCCGGAAGACGTGGGTTAGTGCGTTAGGAGAGGAACGTATGGCACCTAAACATGAAGTTGGAGGGGGGAGGCCGAAGATCCGACTCTATTCTTATCATATCTTAAATTCATTTCTGCAATGCGTCTCTTCGTTTTGCGGCAGGACAGTTTTCCCCTGACCCTTCGTATCTCATCAAAGCGTCTTTTTGTCGGTCCTGAACACTCAGTTCCTGCTTTCCATTAGGTTCCAATCATTCAACTATATCCTCTTCTTTCTTTGCATAGTTTATATCCCTACATACTTTACCCCATTACTCCGTGACAAATTGAATTTTCTACCTCCCTGGAAGTTGTATTTGTCCTCTTAATTTCTTCACCATTTACCTCATTAAGATAATTAAGCGATGTAAATTATCCGATCAGTTTGGTTTTAAAAATGTTTCTTGTTTCCGAGCTGATTCTTCTCGTAAGGTTCTATCTCCATCACTCATTATCCCATCACTCATTATCATTTTTGGCTCACCTCCCAAAACCGACTTTCTCCTTGAATGTCGATACCGACACATGATTTTGTTTCAGTTCCATATTCATTATTGCCTGAGTCTTCTTATGTACGTCTTATGTTAGTCTCCTAACAAGTTATTTCTACCATCAGCCAATATGCTTCAAACGTCTATGCTATGAATCACTTTCCTTTTGTATCAACTTATTTTCGACGTTACGTTCGTCATGATAACCAGGAATAAAAATACTATTAAATGCCCAAACTGTTCACTAAAATTTTAATCTCTTTTCTGCGCCTTAGACTAGCTCATTCTTTCAGACTAATTCACTTCATAGCCGTTTCATCTTCATGAACAGCTCGCATCTTGTAAGTTTTATATATCAGAAAATATATATTATGCACATCCCTTCACGTCTAACCATGAATACAATCCTAGCTTGCAACAATCTACATCTCAGTCATTCAAACCTGTGTGTTTTATTTAGTGATATTACTCATCCCCGTTTTTTCAACAGTGCATGTTAATTCCTGACGTATCAAAGTGAGTAAAATATTGAATAAAAGTTTAAGCTGAGTAACTTATGCACTATTACTTTAAACAACACATCCAGTTAGTATCAAACTGAGATGGTAGAGATATGAGAGAGTAGCAATGAGAACAGGGATGACCCAGGTCACGGCAAACAGCAGCTTATTGGGTGGTGTTACCTACATTGGCACATGACGTAGCTCAGGCTCGGCGAGGAAGGTTCTCCGGAAGAGCGACTTTACAGCGGCTGTCGGACGGATCAGCGGCACTCGAATGCAGGGCGGTCGGGGGAGGGCGGGGAGCTGCTAGCAGGACCCCGAAGGGGGCACTGGACTAGTGAGGACGAGGAGCCTCGACAGGGTCAGTTAGGGCTCATCTGAACCGACGGAGGAGAGGAAGGTCCGTGCACACGGGCGACGATCTCACAAATAACATCCCCCCCCCCGCCAGGCGGAGGTCTAGCTGTTACATAGGCCTTTACTGTTGTGACACTCTTTTCGTGGCGCCAGCTGCCTGCGGCCACGCGACAATTTTAATTTTCGTTCTGCTATATACATTACGTTAGATACATAAACTTTATACAACGTGACAAGTATTGATATGTTCGGAAGTTATCGCTTTGAAAAGGCGACCAGGAAATCTTTATACTGTTCTGCAACATTCATCGTCTTTCCCTATTCGTAACCCAAGCATCTCATAACACTATTGTAAACGAGTTTTCTTAGCATTTTAGACAGCCAGGTGAACAATTTTGACTTTATACAATACGCAAAAGAAATTATTCACTTAAAGAGGAATATACTATGTATAAAATATCTCTTTTAGTAGTGACACCCGCACTGCAAAAGACAAACCAATGTTTAACCAAATTGCTGAATAGCATTTTTCAATGAATTGTCAGTGAGTATTTCTTTAGAGACAAACTTCATGTGAGTTGCTTACTTGGTGTTATACTACGGCGTTTGAGTAACTACAGTTACGTAAATTGTAGAAAATCAAATAAATACATCAAAATTACGTTTTTATCACACATTTGTCATTCAAATATAAACCGAAATTTTGTAACACATCGTTATTGTTGATACATAAAAATACAAATGAAGTCCCGTCCATTTCATCAGTTTTCTTCAACAGAAATACTTTTTCTCTATCGCTTAGGAATATTTCTGATTCCTTCATGGAAAAAAGAAGGCGGCTGCCGCAGCGAATTACGAATTACGCACGTGCTATTTGACCTCTATTTGACTTAATGCCGCCTTTAGTGAACCAAAGATATGTAAGTCACATGGGATCAAGTCAAGTAAGTTTTCTAGAAGTATCGCGCGACAGACACCGATCCTTTCTTTTCATTCTAGTAATACTGCAATTGGAGATGAAAGTATGATGGCCGTGTGTTGGCTATCCCTTCTCTATCTTCCGGTCACAGATGTGTGCTTTGTAACGTCCCAAATGACTTTCCCATAACATGAATTTGCATTAAATAATTAATGTATGTCAGAGAAATGTGGTGAGGCAAAAAACTGTATTTTTATAAATATTATCTTAGCTTTGAAACTTTCAATTAAGACTGAAACGGAAAAAAATAGTATCCACCTTTGTGTTTTTCCATTTACTGAGCTTTGTCATTGAAAGTATTCAAGAAGATGGCCTTTTTGCTTTTTTATGTCTCTTTTTACCTTTTTAATTGACATCGGACTCGTGCACATTTTCGGGCAGAATTTTTCAACATGTCTTTATGTCAATTTTTTTCTTAAATTTAAGAAAACACTTTACTTAGTGATACATATATCTTGAAATTTGAATCAAACATTACCATTTTCAATACAATTTACAAGTTATTAATTGCAAAAGAAATTATAGTAACGCCGACTTTCGAAATTTTTTAATAAGGATTTATAGAAAAATGATTCTGTGATAAACATTTAACAGTATAATCATCATCATCATCATCATCATCTTTCTATTACTTTTGATTGGGATGGTTAAAAAAAATTCTTTGTTCGCCTAGAATAATTCATATTCTCAAATCCATTCTTCTCACTTGTTTTTACCTGTCCTCGTGTAGCACGTATGCATAGCACAAGTTTGATTCCGCCCCAATGTTATCCTCGTCTTTATCTCGCTTTAAAATAATAACCAGCTCCACAACCGCTTGCCCCACATCCCACGAACCTGACCCTCGAACCTTCTGCGCTCCATTGCGTGGGCTTGCGCTTCACATGTTCTCGTAGTGCCATGTGTGTCGCTGTGCTCTGTCAGTAGCCTCCTCCGCGTAGCTTGTTGGACTTTTTTGGCCTCCCGCTTGCATCTCACGTTGCTCTGTTTCGACACCGATCACGCAATAGTTGTGTAGCCGCAAACAACAAACGATTCAAATACAGATCGACTGGAATCAATTACACGTGCTGCTACTACTACACCTGCGTATGCAGGGTAGTTTAGATAGCAGCACTTGCACAAGTTGAAACTGAGCAACCCCGTATGTAGTTTACAAAATTCCTCTACTTGTATTTTGTTATATCTTATTAGTGTTGGTAAACAAGTCGAACACTCGAACACTTTTCCAAACCCACTGCGCTGGTACCAGGAGAAAGAACACGCCAAAAAAAAGTACCTCGTTCGCGAAGCGACCGCGAGTGCGCTGGGATGGGCGGGGGCGGCGCGTGGGTCACGCGTGCGACGCGCGCGGGTTGCAGAAGCTGGCCGGCGGGAAGCGGGGGGGCTCGGGCCACCGGCCGTGGTTCCTGGACTCCTGGAGCTCGTGCACCAAGGAGCCCCCACCCCCGCACCGCTACGACCCCGACGGCTGCGAGGACGGCGACGCCGACGACATCCAGGACCTGCCCATCGAGCTGCGCAGGCTCGAGGAGGAGAACAATCAGCAGGTGAGCCTCCCCTTCTTATGCGTGCTAAGACCCTTCTCCAAATTTCTCTCCAGATTATATTTGTTATTATTGCAACAAGCAGATGAACTTCATTTACTACATCTAATATCTCTCTTTTCAAGACGTTTTCTTCATCTACCCCTTCCTATTTGTCCTCCTCCTCTCTCTTCTCCGCATTATTACGCGTAATATTGCTTTCAGCGTAATAGACCTATGTTCCGTATTTCTTTAATCATATTTGTTAATATTCCTAGAAGACAGAACTCTCAGTAGTGCATTTAAGGGGCAGGGGGCTCAAGGGACGTCAGCCTCCGCTTCCGTCAAAAGCCAGAGTTACATATTACAGAATATCTGTTATTAATTTCCAGTGCTAACAAAAAACACCAATCGTTTACGTAATAAATAGTGGCGTTCTCAAGGGAGGGCACGAAGCATTTCAGCTCCTTCCCAACGCCACTGATACATATTCAGAAATTTAGCTATTTTAGTACTTTTTTTACCTTTTAAATATTAACTATAAGACAACTAGTAAATATAAATTCAAAATCATCGCATATGGTAGAGCAATGAATATATAATATTATGTTAATAAATGACAAGTCCTACGAGAACTTTTTGTTTTAAATCCGAATCTTTACGCCTAACACAGACAGTAAAAAGACGCTATTTTCAGAAACCAACCTCAAAAAAGGAATGTCTTCAAAACTATCAATCACAATCATTTTTCCGATCACCAAAACCGTACTCTCTCAATCTCCATTTCATCTGAAGGAACAGTGAAATCTTAAATGTGTTAATTCTGAATTTAAATAATATTTTAATTGTTACTCCCCTCGTAGAATTTGGATAGACCTCATAGGAAACGATTTAAATGATAATTCTACCACGTAATTTTAGTTTAAGCGACGATAATTTCTTTAATTATTTGCTGAAGTTAACAAAGTGAGCTCGATAGATAGATAACATCAAGTCATGCCAAATCTATCCTTGATTTTTTTTAAAGGAGGTTATAGTTCGAGCAGAAGTGATGAGAAGCAATTCGCTTATTAGCCCTCTTCGATAGATACGATAATGCAGCCGCATGGGGAGTGTTCTACACCTACCCGCCAGTTCGGGCGCTTCTTCACAATATTCCTTTTCTAATAATGTTTGACTTTTTATTGTATAACACAGCATAACACATTCATGTACACTGTGATATAATTTCAGATTAAATGCTGCAGCAAATATCGATATGCGTGTTGTAGAGAGTATTTAGAAAATAAAATAAAAAGGGTAAACCTACTGAATGTATATGATTGAAAATATTAGAGCGCGTGTTCTCACCCCTGCCATGAGACGTCTCGCCCCCTTTCAGGCCTGTGTGTAGATGTATCAAAATCAAAGACGATAGAAGCTCATAAAAACATCATCATGATAAAACATTGATTCTATCTCTAAGAACTACATCCTGGAACGTAGCTGAAACGGTCACCTCGATTACACGATCACCTCCATAAAACGACTATTTTTTGCCGAACTGGTTCATTTTCCTTTGTAAATCTTTCCTCTTTTAAGCAAGCGCCTGGCAGTGCGGTCAGTTACCAGACGCAGTCATTGATTAACATTTATTAGACGGTCACAACATTTTGACATGGTTGCGAGTTTGATTTGAAATGCTATAATAAGCAAAAGGCCGCTGAATATTACTGTTTTACTCAATATATTCGTGTGTGTAAAGTCAGATTATTTTAGAGATAACGAGATTTGCTTATTTTGCGGGATGATTTGTTTGTGTGCTCTGATATCAATGAATGATTTTTATGCATGCTCTGAAATTTCCTCAGAATGGAAACTGTAGATTGAAGTGTAGACGGGAATCAAGTCCATGAATGGAGTGAAACAACAATTGATATGAAAAAGAATAGTGCCAATCTCAAAAATTAAATGTGTTTTTAAGAGAGTTGTTTAAATACGCACCAGGAAAAAAGGTTCCGGTAGATTAAATGTTGAAACAAGGGTGTAGACAACCAATGCATACTAACGTCATTACAAAGTGCAACATAGGACAATGTCTATTTCCCACAATTTCATATCCTACATTAAGTGTCCACTTGTACTAGCGGTCATTTTTCTCCAGAACCTTGACAAGTCCTAGTGTAGTGTCGCGGCAGTGGCACATGATCGACCCTAGCTAAATACGAGTATTAAATGTTGGGAGGAGAATGTGAGGGATCCGCTCTTCTGATTGGCAGTTTTCGTAGCCTTTCCGATCAGTATTAGGTAAATGAAGAAGCTGTACTCTGACCACCGGGTCACGGACCGCGCGCGATCTTTCCTTTCACAATCTTGTCCCCACATCTCCCATTATAGAAAGAAAATTACACTTACACTCACTACACTGCGACGCAAGTCGGAAGAGCAATCGGGAGATTAGAGCTTGTCGCAGCCGGTATTCTGCTGATGGAGATACCTGGAGGAGGACCCCAGAAACCCCACGTGAAAATCGGCGCCGAATATCACGTTCTAGCGGAGTAGGAACACCGGTACATCAGTGGCAATCACTATACATACGGAAATAAACTACCATTGCCGCTGTCGCGCTCGTAAATTCAAAACAAATGGTCGAAGGTCTCGTGGACCTTAAGCCTTCAGAGAAATGTTACTGCAGCCACCGACCGTCAAGCTGTGTAGTCCTGTTAAACTCGCCATCGTCTATTTTGGAAACGAGGTCTCGCCTGCAGAAAGCGCCTCTCTGAAAGTGGCAGGCATCCGCTTTGACAAACATAATCCACGCGCTCTTTTGTTTCAATTTGACAGGTCGCTGCTATCGGATGCGTTCGTGAGCGTTCTGGAGAATCCGCAGCGACTGACTGCAGAGCGCGGGAATCGGTGGAGAACGAATCGTTCTGGGCGCACTGCGTTTTATAAATGAAAGGAATAAAAAAAACAAAAATAAAAAAAATCATTGTGAATAATCAACGGGATCCGTAGTAATCGCGGAGTTGGAACAAAGTGTTAGGTATATACTAAGTAATATGCATGTTCTTGGATAAGTTTTCTTTTCCACTTTTCTTGATTTGATCAGATGTGGAACTACTAGCCTGCAAATATAGATGTAATGGCTTTCATATCATGATATCATTTTGTATTTACTTTGTGATTTGAATTTTAGCTCTGTATTATACTTCTGTAAATTTTGTGCTTCCTTTTTCCCTCTCAATTTTTAGCTTTAATTTTGTTTACTTTTAAAGCAGAGAAAAATGCGCTAAATCTGGCCCTGGTCAGATGAAAACTCGCTTCTCACCCGTGTTCCTTCTGTGGGTTGAGTGCAGGCAGCGCTTGTCGCAGGTGGAGCTGTCGTGCCCGGACCTGGGCCAGCGGCGGCAAACGTTCGCTTGCCACAACACGCCGTCGGAGGTGATTCTCAACCACAAGTCGAAGAGCCTCAGCGACATCCTGACGGTGGGAAAGCGAGCCATGGTGCGTTCGCGCTCCTCCGTGCCCAGCCTGGGCGGGCAGCCGTCCTCGGGCACGGACGGGGCGGCGGCAGGGGCGGCGGGCGGCGGCGGCGGGGCGGCGTGGCGGGCTGCGCGCGGGCGGCGGCCCGGCGGGGTGCGGCGGCGGGCAGCGGCCCGCTGGCGGGGTCCGCGGCGTCGCTGGCTGCGGTGGGCGCCGCGGCGGCCGCGGCGGCCCGCCAACCCTCTATCGCGCAGTCGCCGGGATAGCCACCGCCTCCGTCAAACAGAAGAAGTCCCTGTGCGAGGAGCGCGCCCGCGAGGAACACGAGGACGACGAGGAAGAAGACGAGGACGAGGATGAGGAGGAGGAGGAGGACGAGCCAGCCGACATGCGGGACCTCGTCAAAGCGCTGCCCGAGTTCAAGATATCAGGTCAGTCACGGCACCAGAGTTCAGAACTGGCTCTGTCAGTCTCAAGCGAAAGTATCGCAGGGCGAAATCTCACAAGAGAATCCCCAGCCTGTCTTCCACCGGCTTTCATATTCCAAAATCCATTCCCACGTCCGTTTCCAGTGATAATTGTTTAATTTTAATGAATGTAATAAAATAAATCATTCATTTCCAAGAGCGAACCGTTCACTCTGTAAACATTATTAAAAATGCAAAAATCGTTTTCTGTATTATATCAGTAGTATACACACCTTTTACAGATCTCTCACGCTACCAGTCTTTATAAATGAGACCTCTGAAGACAGATAATTTCACGGAGATGTGACGAATTGCCCTTTGACTTTAAAAATATGAAGGAGTTGTATAAATAACGCATCTAAATATTCATGACAAATGCAACCCGCAACGCTCATGCAGAATTTATAAATTAATAACTGCTCAGCGACACGTTCTAGGACATTAAAACCTTTATTTTGCGGTCAAATCGTTTGATACTCCATTGTCTACAGAATGAGATCTTTCTGGGCATTCTATTACATTTTTGTACAATTCGACGTTTTTCGATGCAGCATACTGCATACTTGTCATACAGTAGCGCAGCTCTGTGTTAAATGTCCTTTGACAATGCGTTCATCAACAACTCTAGCTTCCTTGCGATATTACAGTCGTCATACAGCCTCGTCGGCTAAATATGACCGGAAAGAAAATGGTTATATATTTTAATTTCCTCTCAACCTCTAAATATACAACAGATGAGGTACAATTTTCGACTATTTTTAAGAAACGAAATAATTAAAATCTAATTAATGTGTTGATTGAAATTTAATGTCTTAGGAATTTTATTTTCTATTTTTTTTACTTTTCTTGTCTAAAGGTCTAAAAACTGATAATCTAAATAAGTAAAAAATCACACTCATTAAAAACGATATTGTGAATTCATGCAGAAGGGTTTATTGAGTGAAGAAAATTTGTACCTAGACGGGCAAATAAAACCAAGGTGATACAGGTAGTTTTCATTTTATTTTATAGTGCTACAAATTATTTTCAAAACTACATCTAAAATTATTTTTTTAATCATAAAATATTAACATTTCATATACTCGAATTTAAATATTTCGTCTTGCTTTTTCCTTGGTCAAGTATTTCTCTGTTAGTGACCTTCAACAAATAGTAAATTTTTACTTTCACAATACGTTTTCTCACGTAACTCTCTTCTTCACTTCAGAACAACCTCTCGCAAAATTGATTTCTACGAGTTTGTGTAATTACTGAGTAGTAATATTTTGAACAGCAATTAATTTCCCAAATTTTGTCAATAAAATTGCTTCACACATTTACATTATAATTGGATTTTAACTGTGACAAGTCTTATATAAGTTTGAATTTATTTTGAACATGTTGAAAGCAACAAACGTTTTTGTTATGTCTTCTTCTAGGATCTCACACAAGTTTTTGTTTGTTTCTCAAAGATGCAACTCCGTAATTTTCATACAAAACTAAAAACATATTGCTTGGCACTCACTTCTACTAAATCTACATTTAATTACAGCGCACTTATTTTTGCTAGGGAAGAAAGTGAAGACTTTTTTTTCAACTAAATGTGAGGCTGATATTTTGTTTTGAGGAGTTCTAAAACACATACAAAGAAAATAACAAGACACAATTCCAGATACTTTTTAAGTGCTTAACCTGTTCTTAAAATTGCAACTTGACAAATAATTCAATCTATTCCAGCAACGCTCTCTCGAAAGTAAAACGGCTTTGAGGTGTGAGCATTCATTCCAGACTTCAGCATCCATCGTTTTACGTTATATCCTCCAGGATTGCTAGCTGTATGCGCGCGCATCCCTCACTAGCAAAAATAAAATTAAATTAAAAAAGGACTGAGCTGCGCTGCAGTATGATTATATTCCTCCGTTCCTAGACGTGCAGAATCTGCAACTGTATGGAGAATTAAACAAATTACTGGATTTTATATCCGATTAAAAAGCACCGTTGTAACCCTCCTTTGGATAATTAAGATATATAATATAGCAAAGAATAGAGTTGTACTGACAGGGTCCTGCATTTCGCTCGTATTTTCTCAGAGTAAAAACCGTTTCTAATATCTTTGTGTCTATCAAGGAAAGTGAAAAGCTGTCTAGGAAAATTAAAATAATTACTTCAGATGTTTTTAAGGAAGTGTTGCGCATTTTGTCTATAATACTGTATAAATCCTTATTGGAAATTTGTTTCAAACATCACTTGCATATTTTTACTTTCCCGTATACGTACGTATATACGGAGTAATATACGTAGTATAGGGAATGTTATGAAATGCTAAGGAAAATCGATTTCGAGATTTCAATGAAAATACTCGTTTTGGGGTCCCCTAATACGAAAAAGTGTCCGTCCGTGAGTCTGGTCTCTGTGAACACTACTAATGCCAAATAATGCTTAGGATTTTTTCGATATAGATGAAACCCCTGTCCATCTGGCTCGAATCGAGACTTTGAGATTTTGAAAAAGCATTATTCAAAATTTTGGGATAGTTTACATGGAGCCCTCCGGAATTATTCAATATTTTCTCACAAACTACTCCAATTTCTTTCCTTAAATTTCTTGTAAATATAGAGGAAAATAGACTTATAGAGATATCCGGTTTAACACTGAATTTTCGAACATTTCAAAATTTTAGGGGGTGTCATCCTAAAACTACAAAATTGAAGATAGAGATTTTTCTTTCAAATAAAATGTGTTCTCCATAAGTAAGTTCTTTCATTAAGATCACGTACATTCTTTTTTTTAACAAAATAGTGATTTTCACGCTATATTGGGTGCAATTCGTGCAATGTTAAAAAACTACACAAACAAAATTTTCTCAAAAATGGTTGCAAATTTTTTCTTTACACTTTTGGTAGGGATAGTACTAATTAGACTCCATAATATGACATAAACGCCATATTGCTTTATTGTTTTTTTAATTACAAAAATTTATTTTTTGACTTGTCTCTCATGTCGTTAATATTTAAATTTAACGGCAATATTGTTACATTATTATATTTTTGAATAAATACGCTTTAAATAATGCCACATAATTTCTCGAAAACTCAACCGTATTCTGTGAAAACTAGCTCAAAATTCCGCTTTTTCATAAACGCTTAAACGCTATTTTCTCAAAAACGGCTTCATATTTTTTTCTTCAAACATTTCGAACCTATAGTGGTAGTTTTACTCTTTAATATGAGGTCAAGTTAATTTCGGGGTAATATTTTTTGTTTTTTCAAAAATTACACAAATATAAATTTTTTGAAAGATCTTTAACGTCGTTGATATGCTGCACATTTCCTGCAATTTGAAAGCACTGTTGTGATTGAGTATATAAAATGACTTCAAATAACGTTTTTCAAAAACTCAAAAGTGATAAATAATGATAAATGTTCCATATATTCTGATTGAATGATTTGAGTCAACATCATAGCACCTCTCTAATACCTAATACCCATTTGATACATTTGAATATTCTCATACAATTACACCATACCGTGACACACACAAAAGTAGACCGCTGAATGTATCTTCTTGAATGTATCTCTCTAAGTATCACTTTTTTATTAGTTCGAAGAAAAGCGAAGCTAAGCGAGGTCACTCTTGATGAAGGTATTACTGCCTACAAGAACATCCGCTGAGCATTGCAAATAAATTTAATATCCCCGGCACAGCGCTCGTCACGGGCACCGGACGGTCACGGGCCGAGACAACGCAGCACATCTTGAAGTCGGCAACGTAAAATGGCGGCGAGAAGGCGGGGCGTGGCGGGCGCCGGTTGCCGCCACCGCACCCAGGCGCCGCCTCGGCGCGGGCAAGCGAATCATAATACGAATACGTCGGCGGACAGCACGACTTCCGTGTCTCATGAATACGCGTGGAGTGGGTGGCGAGGGGAAAGGGAGGGAAGGCGTGCGGCGGCATGAGGGAGCGCGCTTAGATGACGTTGCGGAGGAAAGGACTACTCGTATGACGGGGAGGGACGCAGATATCGAGGATGGTGGCGAGGGCGCGGTGATCGCTGTGACGGGGCTCCGTCAATGTAGCGCGGGACGAGAGGGCTCTGAAAGGGGGTGGAGTTGGGGGTGGCAGATAGCGAGGAGGTAGGAACGGAGAGGCCGATGGTAGTCGCGGGATGCGATGGGACGCGGAGGTGGAATTGGAGACAGAGCTTGATGCGGGTGGGGCGGGACTGGCGGTGCCGATGCTTTGATCTCGCCGATGATCTCGTCGGAAGATCCTACGTGGCGTTCTTTGAGGGTTGTAATTTTTTATTTCTCCTTTTCCTTGTTCGTCTTCTCAGTTCGGGTTTCTGTCTCGTGTTGCTCTCAGTCCTTTGAGCGATCGTCTGCTTGTCCCAGACGAGAAGGACGAGCTGACGGTTCACAACGAATGGGATATAGCGACTTGAGCAGTGACATGACTGTATAACATAGAATTATCTTCTAAAGAAGACACGGACCAGCAGAACGAGAATATATGATCACCGGCGTACCGGTTCGAGAACTCCACATCCACATCCTTTCTATTTGCTATCCTTTCCATTAAGAAGGAAAGTTGTTAATGAAACGTGTTTATTTGTTAAAAATGTATGAATGTAGCTAAAATTACATAATATCAAACAAAAATAAAAACAATACAATCGATATTGGAAGCAAATTTTCAATAAATATTTATTCAGTATTGTAGAGATACATTCTTCGAACAATTCACACTTTCTTAAAAACATTTGAAGTAATTATTGAATCTTCCTTGACAGTTTTCTTTATAGTCACAACAACATTAGATAATGTTTTTACTCTTGAGAAATCCAAGAAATGTTTTCCAGTAGAAAATACCGGATCGGGCAAGTACAACACTACTCTTTGCAATATTATTTAACTTTCTTGGATTTTTACAAGGAACAGAGGGGATTTTGGAGGGGCAGAGCGCCAGCTCGCTGGGATACGAAAAATGAAAATTATTTCTATTCTAAAGAGTATTGGATTATTTACTACGTTCTTACGTACCTCAAGAAAGTCAATTCTGAACCAAAAAATAATAAAAATTAGTATTTGTTCTTTGTGTGGTGCCATAGCACAAGTTTTCCCCTACTACCTCCGTGTACCCGTGTGAGAACTCTCGCATGTTAAACCCCACTTTCTTCCCTAACCTTGTATTTCCATTCTAAGAAGGAAAGTTGTCAAGCAAATGTATTTGTTTATTTAAAAATGTATAAAAGTACCTTCCACTGTACTAACACAGTATCAAATAAAAATTAAATACAAGAACGCAATTTAAGTGGAAAAGACATTTTCACTAAATATTTATTCTGTATTATCGAAATATTTCTTGGAGCAATTCACAACACTGCCGTAAAAACATTTGAAGTAACTATTCAATACTTTTTGACAGTTAGCTTTTCACTTTTCATGATAGTCACAACAATATTAAAAAAGCTATTCACTCTCGAGAAAGCTACATGACTAAATACGCTGACTTGAAATTTCACCGAATCACGGCTGATAACGAAAATGCTGGTACAGGTAAAACACAAACCAAACCTAACATGATACGGCTTCACTCTCACTGTACAAGTGCTGTCTACCTAATCGGGAAGAGATGTGAGTGTAGACCTCGGCAAAACGTTAAATGAATGTTTTCACTACACACACGAAACAATATTCATCGGTGTCAAATAACTATTAATAGTACTTATAATTGTTTTGCGAGAGCGCATCTTCAATTGATAATTATGGAAATAAACCTCGTCAGTTTGCGCAATCCACGGTGTACACAGAAAGCGTAAATAGTATAAGATAGAAGAATCTAAGCCTTCTAAGTGTGACGTCACAAAGATGACCACCATCAGAGAAATACATGTGGGATTGGTTGTATCGATAAGTGCGGAAGCAACAAAAATTTAATAGAATGTTCAAGAATCATTCTGTAGATTATAATTTGAGAAACGTTTTTTTAGGCTTTCGGCCTCAAAACTTTAATTTTTAAGACTCTCTAACGCTTCGTTCAGGAATTATTTAACGATAGAGGTGACTGAGTGCTGCGGGTTGCATTTGACTTAATATTTAGATGTTTTTTAAACAAATCCTTCATATTTTTAAAGTCAATGTGAAATTCGTCACACCTACATAACATTCTCATTTTTATATCGTGACACCTCATTTACCGCAAATGGCATATATACTACTAAAATAATATAGGAGACGATGTGATTCTTATTATTTCTACAACAGAATAGAGAGGTCAAATAGAAATTAATTGTTATATATAGTATATTACCCACTTGTACACTCATCTGTTGGTTGGTGTGCAAAAGAATAAATTTTATTTAAGGTTATTTAGGATCCGAGGCCAGGCATTATTTTTCGTGAATGGGCTCATGAGGGGATGTGCAAGCATTGAAAGGTGCATTTGTAGAACATTAATTATTTATTGTATTTATTTTAAAAGAACCCAAAACTTGCACAAGAAAATGTGATGATCATTAATCATTAACACTATTGGAAAACATCTAAAAATATTGGATGATTAAACAGTAGTACTTATTATCTTTTGGTATTTCTTTACTTAGTTTTTTATTTCTTTCTTAATGGAAACTCCCTTTTGTGCTTTGAATGCATTTTGCATTCATAAAATACTAAGTCTTACCACACACGATGGATTCAGATTTTGCAACCTCTGCCTCCACGGTCACTCCTGTGTCCACGTCGCATGGGTCCCCGTCCCTAACGTTGCACTCGCCATACTGCTCGCTGCGAACGTCTCGTTCCCTCTCGTGTTCTTACTAGCAGCGCTTCTCCACTCGCCTCTTTCGCTTCAGTAATGGCGGCCGCGCGATTCAAACGCGGGGCATTGGAAATAGCATGTACGCAACGCGGGGTACTAAAGCTATTAGTCCTGTCTAATAAATTGTGATAAATAGCCTGGCATTGCCCGGGTATTCATCACAATTTATTGGACAGAAAGAGGAATACCATCTAATCCCGGTCTGTGATGGAGCCTATTTCTATCTATTCTATTGTTATCCCCTCCGCCCACCCCGACCCTCTTTGCATTGCTCCCATCTGGAAACACGGAAATACCCGGTCTTTCATACTCACTAAAACACTTTCTCATTTAGAAATATTCATATTTTTTTCTTCTTGGGGTTCTCGCCCACGAACGTCAATTACTTTATAAATGAAAATAATAAACAAGTCTAAACCAAAAAAGGACAATATATCTCATCATGTACATTCTTTATTCTTTCGTAAAATTTTATATATTAAGCCAAAACTTTCAGTCAATTGCCACTTTGTAAAACTTACGCTATTGTTGGAAATTGTTCTTGCCGTGGCAACGGACGTTTAAAAATAATTAAAGTAATTTTAATTGAATTCGAGTACGCGTTTTAGGATCCTTGCTAAATAGTGGGTGATGGAAAGTACCCATTAACTACTTCGACAGTTATAATCTTCTAAAATCGGAGATGACAGTGGGTCTCGGCTGACTAAGATTTTTTCTATTACCTAAAATAAACAACAAACTTGAAAACCAGCGTTGACACACATTCAATTCATCCAAATATCCATTTATCATTTGTTTCACTTCAACTATCATGGCAATCTTTCATCAATTTAATTATTCCTTCACAACCCATAGGTGTGATTTCACTATCCACTATAATAAAACACGAAAAATCGTCCACTCGTCACTTAGAACATAATGTCAATTTGATCATAACTCGTAAATCATTCGTAATATGTTTTCGCTCGCACTGTTCTTGGGCAACTCACAAATACTTAATAATCATGCTTAATTTACAACAACTAAACTTGTGTGCATTCATACTTTGTTCGAGATTTTTTTACGTATCCATCAGAATATGATCTCTTTCAAACATTTCGTATCTCTTGTACACTTAATGCATTCACGCCTAGACGTAATTAACAGCAATATCCAAGTAACTTTTAGAGTGGAGAAAACTCATAATCATTTCGATTTAGACAATTGACAGTAAAAAAGTTCGACAATTGTTTTTTTGTTTGTTTGTTTTTTTGCCCGATGGTTGCTTAAATTTATAATTTTGATGAGAAAACATATTCTGTGAAATATAACGATTTTTTTCATAATTATAGATGGCGCACCGAACGCTCAAACATGGCGATTTGGGGTACTTTTTTCACATTTGGTCTTGTCCATGTTTGAGCCTTCTAGAATTATGATAAAAATCATTATATTTCACGAAACATGTTTCCTCATCAAAGTCGTCAGTTTAAGCCCCCAGCGAGACAAATGTTCGACCCACCTTAATAAATTTGGAATATCCGAGATCAATAAATTCAGACACAGTTTGACTGATCTCCGTGAATGTATCTCCTTATCCAAGTGTTTTTGTGTTGTTTATTGTTTGTTGTTTGTTTTTCCACGGGTAAGGTTTCATGGATGTGCATTTTAATGGAAACTTGAGCTCCTCTTTATGTAGACGTTTCTTGTGACAGGGCACGGGATCAACCGGCGCTGCGGCAACGTGTTCAAGCAGAGCTCCATGAACGAGGAACTGATGTCCGCGGAGAGGCTGCGGGAGAAAGAGCGCGTGCGACAGAACATCCAAAAGCAGGCGTCGCTCAACGAGGAGCTCATCTACCGGCGCCACCGCACGCTCGACTCGCTGCGGGACACGCTCTTCTCCACGTCCACCGCCAAACGCCTGCAGCTGCTCAAGAACGGGCTCACCAACAAGCTCAAGTGCTCCACCACGGGCATCGAGAAGGTGGCCGGCTCCTCCTTCAAGAACGGCTTCGTGCGCATCCTGCAGGGCTGGAAGGGCGGGGAGGTGACGCCCGTGGCCAAGCCCCCGCCCACGCCCACCTCCGCCGAGGGCCTCTCCCCCAAGACGCCGCCCCCCGACTACAAGCGCACCAACAGCTACTCCATGGACGACAACAACCGCAAGGACGTCACCAAGCCCGGCGAGCGCCGCCACTCGCGCGAGGACGGCTCCGACTCGTCCAAGGACAGCAGCCTGCAGAGCGACACCAGCGTCGACTCGGAAGACAGCTTCGCGTCCGTCATCTTCGTGCCGAAGGCGGACGGGGCGCCGGGCGGCGGCGCCGGCGGCGACGCGGGCGGCGGCGGGCCCGGGGGCGGGGCCACCACCATCAGCACGCCCTCGGGCTCCGTCACGTCGCCCGCGCTGCCGTCGCAGCTCTCGCCGCCCAAGTCGCCCCAGCCCACCTCGCCCAAGGTAGAGCCCGGCGGCAGGCAGGCCCTTATTGCTGCTGGCACGCACATCCTGCCCCGCATGCCCCTCTCGCACCGACTCCGACCATTTCGTTTCTTGTCGCTCAT